CTTATGATTCCCTTAAGATGCTCAATTACTGCAGCGATTTCAAAGCCCTATCGTGCCGTTTTTTTTATTGGCGTAGAACCAGGTCTAACATGGTAAGTTTTTTCAAGGATATCACAGGGTATATGAAATCGAGTTTTACGACATTTTTTCGTGGTCGAGGCATTTTTTATCTTCAAAAAACTGAAAAATCGATTTATTTGCGAATCATGTTTCTCAACGTCTCCTCTGTCATATCTCGGGAAATAAAAGTGCTATCGGGCTGTTCTTTTTTTTTAAATTAAAGTAAAAACCATAGCGCTTTTATCAGTATACATGGTTTTTACGCAATTCGCTTTTTTATTGTTTTAAACATCAGAAAAATCAAAAAAAAAATAATTTTATGTATTACAATTTTCACCAATCGAGAAACTTTTTTATTTTTAACTTTTTTGATGTACATCCGCGAAGCAAATGAAGCCAAAACATTACAAAAGTTTTTGGTAATATTACTTTTTTCCTAATATCACAGATTTATCATTTTTAGAAAACGTTAAGTAAGTCTACCTTACATTTCAGTCATATACTTCCCTAATAAAACTCACCTTTATTTTTCTCCTAGAATCCGAAAATCAATTAATATATAAAGTATTCCTTTACAAAAAACACAACTTTGATGTGTAACTTTTTTTTGGGACACCCTGTAGAACTCTATATTTTTAAAACGTACTCTGAATTAACTTACATATTCTCACAAAATTTCATTTCAATACAAACTCTTCGTTCTCCTTGGAGCCTCCGAGTCGTATGAGAGGCGTCACCCTGTATAATTTTTATATTTTTTATATAGTTACCCTTTAATAAATTGTTAGTCAAAACCAAAGACATTATAAAGATAGACCGAGCATCTCATTCATAAATACTCGTTGGTAGTGTATCAAACATTCCAATGTGTCAAACAAGGACAGAAGAGACAGAGAAGTCTAAAATTTCCGACCCCGGCAACTAGGCGCATTTGGATTGTTCTAATGGCCAGTGGCGTATCGTTTTTTGGAACGAATTTAATTAGTAAAGTAAAAGTAAAGTAATTAGTAAAATTTTTACTCCATATTAATATACTACATTAACACTTTTTCGTCAGATGAGGTCTAATATAATAATACAATTAATATCCCACATATACTTATGCTGCAACGTTAGTAGTTTTCGAAAATCACTCGAACGTCGATTTTCAATTTAAACTTTCAGTTACTTCTATATAAACTTTCAGTTACTTTTGAATATTTACAGGCTTCCGAAACAATTCTATATTAGGTTTGTGGTTGGTGACTATTCTTTCAATTTTTTTTTTCAGAATATGGAGGCATTTAGGCACATTTTAGACATTTTTGTAAACATAGGTGGTCGGAACATATTTTCAAACCAAAGTTGTAGATTTGCCATTAAATTTCCAGTCCAGAAATACCTATGGTTGCCACTTGTCCTTTTTTGAAAAGGACAGTCCTTTTTTGGAATAACTTGTCCTTTTGACTTTTTTTGACTTAAAAAGTCATTTTTATTTACGTATTTTCCCTGAGAAAATTACCTACAGCAAACAGAAATATTCTTTTCACCCAAATTTAATTAGGAATGTTATAAAACTTAACTTATAAATAAATTTTTCTTGTTTAGAATAGGCAACATTAATTAGAACTTCCCGTTTAATCTCAAATGATAGTTTAGGTTTTAGTTTGACCTTTTTTTATCTTAAAAAGAACTTTTCAAAATTAGTACTTAATTAGTAACGATTTAGTTAGTTTGCAATCGATAGCTTCCTGTGAAGTACTGTGTAATAGTTGTTTAATCTTGTATTATTAATAACTTCCTATACCTAAAATCAATATTTAATGAGAAAATTGTGTTTTTTTTGAAAATATAAGACTAGATTTGACTTTCGGTTTTTTTCTTGTATTATGATGGCTCTGATACGAGGCAATTGCCTTTTTGCGTCTCGCAATAGAAGGCATTATAATTAAAAGTATAAAATCTGTGTGCTACAGTATGGGATTTCTGCATAATATCTATACGTATTACGTATACTATACCTATTACGTTTATTTACAAATCCATTACTTTTAAAGGTAGCTTCATCAGATAATCAAATTTTAGTTAAATGTCCTAATCTTCATGAACTGTATTAAGCATATGTATTGGTGGTTTGAATCACCCTGTATATTGACAAAAAAAATTTAAAAATGTGCGTTACAATGGCCCCCATCTTATGTAAAAAATTGAAATAGAAATCACAAACCAAAAACGTAATAGGTAAAAAGCTTTTTTGGAGGCCTGGGTCACTCTCTATATAGATATGTATAAAACTAGTAGCCTAGGAATTATTTACAGTTCGTCCCATTCTAAAAAAAGTTAAACACACCGTACAAATAACTCTAGGAAGATGTATTTGTACGGTGGTAAAACAATCTAAACAAGGCCGAAGGGGCAGATATAATAAAGCAATAAAATGTAAAAGGACGGGTAAACACCTATGTTTATTTATTGAGCAAAATTCCTTTAGAATAACGTATATAATGACCAAAATAGGACGCAATTTTAAGAAAAAAATGTCACTTTCTGGCTTATAATAAAGTTTCAAATGTAACGTTTATATTTAAATTTGTTATGATCTACAACAGTTAGGTAGTAATTGAGACAAATTATAATTCAATTACCGGCTACTACGTTCTTGGTTTAGTAGATCAGAATTCAACAAATATAATCAGAAATTATTTTAATTGTGAAAGGCTCCCTTGTGGGACGCCTATGTACGATTACGGCGCAGCGGAAACAATACCTACCTGTGGAAAGCCAAATTCGGGTAATTTGAGCTTATTTGTCCACACATTTGACACTGTCGTACCATATTGAAAATTCGCAGATTCAAAAGTACGTTAAACAAAAGCAAAAACTACCGAAAACACTGAAAAGTTCACTTCGGACTTGATTCCGACTTCAAACACACCGTAAGCTAAACGTAGTACGCTATAACGGACCAAGGGCCGTCGCGAGGGTTGGAGGGACGGACGGCTCATTTCATTCTGGAAGACTAGCAGCGACGTTGCCAATAGTTCTAGACGTTTCAGCACATTAAACAGTAAACATGTCCTTTAATAGTAACGCATATATCCTCTGGTTAATAACATATTATTACGCATGCTTCTTTAAAAATAAACTATTAATTTAATCAAGAAATTGAGATTTATTGATATCCGGTGAAGGTTTTAAAGTCACCTTTTCTGCAAATCAAACTAAGTAGATAGGCGCAAATTTGATATGTGGCAATGTCGCCTTCTCTATCTCAGTTGGTTTTTACAGTACGTAGTCAACCTTCGAATGTTTGATCGGGTTAAAATGCATAATGTGATATCTGTTCTTCCTAAATCTATGGTCAAAACTAACAGTCCTACGAGTGTGAAATTTTGTACAGAGGTTCCTTAAGTGACGAAAGTGGATTTTGGACATTCATCTCCTAAGGGTGAAATCAGGGATGAAAATTTGTACAAACATTTGTTAAAATCGGGTTTAGAAGTATGAAATTCTGTTTGTTCCAATTACGTTATATAATTTATATAGCAATAACAAGCAATTTTTTTCAGAACGTCTACGCCTCATTTCACCCCCTTGGAGGGCGAATTTCCAAAAATTGCTCTTTAGTGCTAAATTACGTTACATAAGGAACGTTTGCGCAGAATTTCATACTTCCAAAACCGATTTTAATGAATTTTTGTACAAATATTCATCCCTTAATTCTTACGGGGTGAATGCCTAAAATTCGCTTCCGAGTACCCATTTTCATTACTTGAGGAACCTCTGTGCAAATTTTCAAACTTCTAGGACAGATTTTTCAATGTTCACCCCTCATTTCACCCTCTTAGAGGGAAAATTTCCAAAAATTGCCTCTTAGTTCTAAATTACCTTATATAAGGAACGTCTGCGCAGAATTTTATACTTCTAAAACCGATATTAACAAATTTTTGTCCATATTTTCAGCCCTTATTTCTTAGGGGATGAATGTCCAAAATTCGCTCTGAGTACTCACTTTCGTCACTTATGGAACATTTTCAAAATTTCAAACTCCTCAGACTAATTTTAAAAAAATATGCAAAATTTCACCCCCTTAGGAGAAGAATTTCCTAAAATCGCTTCGAACTGTTAAATTACGCTACTTGAGGCACCTCTATGCAAAATTTTGTAGTCCTAGGACATGCTTTTTTTGTATACAAAAGTACCCCTCATATCACCCCGTTAACGAGCGAATTTCTAAAAATTGCCCCTTATTGCTCAATTACGTCAGTCATGGAGCCCTCGTGAAAAATTTTATACTCTTAGACCAGATTTTAACAAATTTTTATGCAGCCTTTCATCCCTAATTTCACCCCCTTAGCATATAAGGTAAAAGGTATATTCGCATATACCTTTTACCTTGGGTTTGACCGGGTATTTGCTTATAAATGTGAACAACCGGCTACGTCGCTTCCCAGCGCTTGGCTCCAAATTCGTTCGTTTTAAAAATATTATTAGATTTGGCTGTAGGCGCCCTCTGTGTCATTAAGAGGGAACTGTCTCATCGAAAACATGCTGTTCCGTAAGCAATAGCCATCTGGATTATGTGTTATCTGTGCTAATAGGTATACATATTACATTTTTTCTTATAAACTAAGTACTTATTTAATACGTTATTAAGCATTTATAAGTTTTACACCATTAAAAATTGTCTAATTCGTCATTCTCTTCTGTATCACCCTCGAAGTCTTTAATAATGTTATTAAAAAAACGACATTTACACATATTGCAACACTTTAAGCCTTCTTTAATACAATTCAAGAAAATCTGGTGAACGTTCAAGACGGGGGGATACTAATATAGATACTCAATTTCAATGTTATTGGTAGCCGAAAAATTCAAAAATATCGATGTTTTTTAAAATCGTCTAAAAACAAAGTCTCTTTTAATTTTTTTGACAGAATATTTGACATTAAATGCGGCACAATTCTTATAGTAGTTGGAGGATTTAAATTATTAGAAAAAGTAGTATCACTACATAAACATTATTCGAAAATTCTTAGAGATTGATATAGCATCCAGGAAGAGGCAGATACTAGGATAATTTTGCATGCAATATACGAAAGTAAGTTTAGTAAACACATTTTAGTAAAATCAGTTGATATAAATATTATGTTAATTTTACTTATCCACTTTTTCTGTTCGGACTTAAGAGGAATTGATGTTTTTGTACAACTTGGGCACGGCTCTAATAGAAGATTTATTTCAATAAAAAAGAGGTGGTTCAAAGTTCAAAGTTTGGGAACTAAAGTTTGCTCTTGCCTTCTCTGGCACTCCATTGCTTTACTGGTTGTGACACCACAAGTTTTTTTTAATTGGTTGTTTTTCTTTACAAAAACAAAGGCAAGGAAATTCAAAAATTAAATGACCTAAGAATAAAACTGGCGACAACAACAAACAAACCGTGTTCGGAGCTTCCTCCAACTGAAGGTGCTCTTTACCAGCATTTTTCTTAAGGTATTTACATTTTCTATAATTTTAATATGCCCTTAATAAACTATTTCAGGTGTATGTATCAACTTAAAATATGGTACAAGAGCAATATACCAAGACCTCTTATAAATGCAGAGAATTCAGGATGGAATTTAACTAAAGAGGTTGTCTCCCATATTTACCAATGACACGCCGATTCCCGATATTGTTCGCAAATCATTAAGCATTTATTGTTCAGATAAAAACTGTGACAATCGAAAGTGTTGTTGTATTAAAGAAGGCTTAAAGTGTTGCAATATGTGTAAATGTCGTTCTTGTAATAATATAATTAAAGATTTCGAGGGAGATACAGAAGAAAATGACGAATTAGACAATTTTTAATGGTGCAAAACTTATAAATGCTTAATAACATATTAAATAAGTACTTAGTTTATAAGAAAAAATGTAATATAGTACCTATTAGTATAATATTAGTACCAATGTATATACATATTATGTAGAATATTAGTAGAACCCTTAAGAAACTGCAAAGAGTATTTTATTCATTTACAGCATCGAAGCTTGTATTAAAAAAAATCGGTAAAAAAACTTTTAAGTTAAACGGTTTTATCTTATGTGCACTGAAAACTAGAAAATAATAATAACAATTAGATATTTTGAATTTCTAGTTCAGAAATATTTTAGTACTAGGCAGAATAGATTTTAGGCATATTAGACTAAAATAAAAACGTGGGGCCCCTCTGAAATCCTACCTATGGCAAAGCATATCTTTATACTTTGGTATATCATGAGCTCGGCGTTCGCTGGTGAAGCCGCCACGGCTGGTTATTGATTATCAAAATCTCCAGTTACGATTATAGTAAGTCGATGCAATCCACACTTAGTATAGAAGAAAGTATTACAGCAATAGTTAATGAGCCCCACGTTTTTATTTTAGTCTAATATGCCTAAAAGCTATTCTGCCTAGTACTAAAATATTTCTGAACTAGAAGTTCAAAATACCTAATTGTTATTATTATTTTCTATTTTTCAGTGCACATAAGATAAAACCGTTTAACTTAAAAGTTTTTTTACCGATTTTTTATTTTCTAGTTTTTAGTATTTAACGGAAATGCCTACCGAATATTCCTCATTCTATTTAATTCATTTAGTGCATCATTATTACATGTTTTTTACCTGATAATGTATTACAATCTAATTCCTCAATACATAGCCCTTCCAGAGACTTGACTCGACTTAGAGCCACGTATGCTTGCCCTTCCTCAAACAATTTTGAGCCCAAATACACTACTGCATGGTCGACATACTGCTGCCCTGCATTTTATGGACGGTGAATGCCCATGACAAAATTAAGGGTAACATCCTTCTTTCAGTCGTACCATAATTGAATTTTGCTGGAAACTGTATGGCTTTCGGGTGTATAACGTGTATGCCGTCTCTGCCAAAGTCAATCCAAACGGATGGTACATCTGTTTCGTACATTTGGGTTCGACGGAACTGAGGCCAAATAATTTCTGTAATGTGGCCTATAGCACCATTTACCAATCCTTTTGTAACGTCAATGTTGGACCTCATCATTACTTTTGCTCCTACAAATATTTCAAGTACTGATGGTAAGCCTCCAGTCTTATTTATATCTGTTGGTATTATATTTGCTAAATTTAAATTATCTGTATTTCGTGTGGCGTCAATTAGTTGGTCCTGTGCTTTAATGGTATAAATTCGAGATCCCTTATTCCGGAACACATTTAAAACAGCAGCGTTGTGATTGTTTACTTGCTGATTAGTAGTGTATACCCTTAACGCTTTGTCTGTTGCAAACTCATCACTTGGGTTTTGAATAACTCTTTGCATCAAAATACTAAAATGGTTAGCGGTTAGCTCACCTATTCTCAAAGCATTTAGTATTTCAATAAAAGTATGGTCCCCTTGCTGACGCATATTCTCCGTCAGCTCACAGAGCGTGAACAAACGCCATAGATGTGTGGCTGGTTGGAGATGATCGGGCTGTTTGAAAACAGGAGCTCCGGAGCGTTTGATTGGAGGCAGTTGTAACAGATCTCCAAAAAGTAAAACGTTTATGCCTCCAAAGAACTCGTCTTCATGATTTTTAAGTTGTCTTAATCGTGCGTCAATCATACACAGCATTTGATAAGATACCATTGAAATTTCATCCATGTTGTTCCCACGAGTAATGGACATTTTAACGGTCGACACCCCCAGAGGTCCAGTAAGTCCAGTATAGCAAGGCTATAATATACAACAAGAGGCGCCCAATCTTGAGGGGAAAACCCTTGCGACATTACATTTTTAGCCACCCTAATGCCATACAGTCCTCAGCACGTTTTAACCTATTACCTTAACTTGGGTGGTAAAGCTACCGCTAACTACGTAGGTACATCTAATCACCTATTTTTTTTTATCTGTCCTAACGTCACACAATCTTGGACACAACTGTTCTGGACACGACTACTCATGCCCTCACCTAATACGCCATTTTGTAACGACGTCCATCTTGGATTTTAAATTTTGTCATAATCACAATATTCTACTAGTGTAGCCCTTTCATTTGATACCCATATTGAGGGGGCTGTGGAAAAATATGAAATCCGCCATTTTGTACCGACGGCCATCTTAGATTTACAATGTTATTGATATTACTATATTGTATTGTCATCGGAACTAAAGGTGTGTACCAAATTTCAGATCAATCTGACAACAGGAAGGTACTTAAATTTCAATTTCTAATTTTGACCCAAATAAACAAACAAATAAATAATAACCGTACGGATCGAGCTAAATAAAACCGTTTAAAAATAAAAAAAATCGGATACTGAAAAATACGTATTGTTGCGAACAAAAATAAATGGGACATTCAAAGTCATGTCAAACGTGTGTTTCTGTCAATTTTTAATTACCAATAATTAGTACCACCTCATAAAGAAAACACATAAAATCTAAGAATCTTTAAAACGGCAACTAAATAGTTCAGCTCGTCTATCCTGCATATAGTGCATATACGCTGCTATAGGAACCGCGCGACGATGCGACGGCGATATGTTGCGCTCCGACTCGCTTAATAAAAAAATCGCTGATGCCAAACGATCTATATTAGGAAAAAAGTAATATTACCAAAAACTTTTGTAATGTTTTGGCTTCATTTGCTTCGCTGGATGTATATTAAAAAAGTGTCTCGATTGGTGAAAATTGTAATACATAAATTTATTTTTTTTTTGGTTTTTCTGATGTTTAAAACAATAAAAAAGCGAATTGCGTAAAAACCATGTATACTGATAAAAGCGCTATGGTTTTTACTTTAATTTAAAAGAAAGAACAGCCCGATAGCACTTTTATTTCCCGTGATATGACAGAGGAGACGTTGAGAAACATGATTCGCAAATAAATCGATTTTTTCAGTTTTTTGAAGATAAAAAATGCCTCGATCACAAAAAAAATTTCGTAAAACTCGATTTCATATACCCTGTGATATCCTTGACAAAACTTACCATGTTAGACCTGGTTCTACGCCAGTTTTTTTTCTCGGAAACTAAGCGTCTTAGCTTCCCGATTCCGCTGCACTAAATGTCCTTGGCCTGCCATTGAAGTGTCATCTGCAAAGAGTGTGAAATGTCCAGAGATGTGCAGTTCTGTCAAATCGTTAATATACAATAAGTACAATAAGAATAAAATAGGCCCCAAAACAGAGCCCTGTGGAACACCGGAATTGAATTATATTGATTTAAGTCATTTTACTGACAAGTTGCTCTGCTTAATCATGATTTAAGTCAAAAATATAGACTTAAGTCATAAAAACGACTTAAATAACGTTATACTAACGTTATAAATCTTTACAAAAATGACTTTACTTGAAATAAAATAATTTATGTCAGACTTAAAACTTAAATCATTTGAACTTTATGTTGACTTTGACTTAAGACTTAAATCATTTTGATTTTAGACATGACTTAAGACTTAAGTCTTTTTAAAACTGGCTTGTTGCAGCTCTGGTGGAGAACAAGAAAGTTGTGAAGTTTTTTTGAGATAATTGTGTCTGTGTTTGGTTTGGTGGAATTTATGTCAAAAACAGTTAACAGATTAATATCGCCTACATAGATCGGGGAAGTTAGCAACTCATTGAAAGCAGGAATTTTAAAATTTAAAATACAATCCTGCTTGGGCTGCTACAATCCTGCTTTATTCTGCTTCAAATCCCAACCCAGCCACACCTACCAATTTTGAGCTATAGTTACTTTTATTTTGGTTGCTGACTTCCCAGTTGGCAACACGTGAGAAGCAGGATCACCAAAACTGGTTCCTGCTTGCGCTGTTATACCCCTGTTGCATCCTGCTCTAAATTTCATCCCAGCAACACTTGCTGTTTTTAAGATACAGCAAGTTTAAGTCTGATTGGTGACGTCACACATAGCAACACAATAAAAGCAGGATGCCTGAAACAAGTTCCTGCTTTTGCTGCTATAATCCTGCCTCGTCCTGCTTCAAACTCTATACCAGTCACTCTTGCCGTTTTTGAAATACAGCAAATTTCGTTTTGATTACTGGAAATCGGGAATTGGGGAATTATAAAATGCTTCTAATAATTCCTTTTACAACGAGACTGCCAGTAAATTACGTAAGAATACCCATGGGCGCATTGGGGATGTGAACTGGAAAAAAACATTAAACAAATATCAATGAAAAATGAAATTTTTAAAACAAAAAACTAAACTGAATATTAAAGTAAGTGCGCGCGCGTTAACTACGCAAGAAGCCGATGTATTGCGAAATTCTTTTGTCGCAGTCATTAAACACTTCCTACTTCCCATCAATTCTCCTGCAATATGTAATAGTGTCCAATGACATGGGATCGGTAGGGATTGGGTTCCCGAAGTGACCTACAGACCTTAATATATATTCTACTGCTTGTATTTGAATTGTTAAAAAAAAGGCACAATATCCCTTATCGCAATCTATAAAAATGAAGGGTCTGAACTAGAGGTGTGTAGTTCGTGAACGAACTAGTTCCAATGAACTATTCCGACCCCGGAATGAAAGGAACTAGTTTCTGGTTTCTCAAAGAACTAGTTCCTTAGGACCTATTTCGGGATCGAGACTGTGACCGATATAGAATAATATGCGACGGCGGCGGATCGGCTAGCGCGCGTAGCCCGATGGTAGGCAGGAGTGGGGAGTGCCAGCCGTACGTTATCGGATCCGGACCTAGAGGAACTAAACCATAGAGCAATATAAAATAAAAGAGTTGTCATTTCCATAGTCAAAAGTAGGCAACACGTTTAACGAGGATCGATTGTAGCGCACCCTTGAGCCCTAACTGAACTAATACAAATATGATAGACGTAATCGGTAAAATAGGTATCTGCATTACCTACCACAAAAAAGGCGGGCAGTTTAAATGTGAATTTAAAAATTTATGTGTTTTTAAAAATATTACGAAATCAAACTGCAAAAAATATAATGAAAATTTATTTTTAAAAACGGAATATTTGAAAAATATAAACTATTGTACACTTTTCAAATGCTTACAGTTAAATGCTAAATTAAATTTGATAATATAAAACATATACATATGCTGAATTAACCTCGAGGGGTAAACCGCTGATGAATTTAAGAAATATCTTATAAACCGAAGTAGATAATCTGAACTTTTAGACAACAACAAAAAGCTTGAAGTGAGGAAAAATGCAATTTTTCGTAAAATTTTTGTTATATTTGCTCCAATTGATATCGTGATATAGTTTTTTTAAATTCTGATTTGAGTTTTTTTTTTATTTTTTTTTATCTGCAATAAAACTTACCTATATGTTTTTAACATACACAATTACACGTCTTGTTATATCTCCGTACATTATAAAAATTATACAGATCATACTGTGAATAGTTCTGACTGACAACGAAACGCATTAGTAAGCAAGGGGGATGTCATTGTTAGTCGAGAACTATTGTGAACTAAAGACCTAGTTCAAGGAACTATTCCTCTGGAGGAACTAGAACTAAGGAAATAGTTCCTCCCAAGGAACTAGAATTCCCACCTCTAGTCTGAACGTGTAAACTGATGTTATTGCAGTAATTTACAACTATTGCAAATTACTGAGCGATCAAAACTTTTGAAATAACTTTAACAAACTGGAAAAAAATGCTTGTTTCAGTTTGTTGTTAAATAGAGACTAGAGACCCACAATGCTGACAGGTCATATCTTTCACACCACAGTGTAAGTTATCAAGAAACGCAGTTGGAATATAAGTAATGTTACAATCACATCGCAATGCATATGTAGAGTCACTTCTAGCAATCAAATTTTTGGCTAGATGCTAATATTACAACTCTTTTCAAAATTTGAGGCTTCGTGAGATTCTATGAAGATTTTAATTTCCTTGCTGTCGCAGTAAGCAGAAGCTAACATTTGCAGTATCGTGTCAAACGGGCATGCATTTTTTAATAAAATCTTTTTTCCTTCGTAACATATGTGGGTGTCCTGGCGAAATTTCAATTTCTGAGTAAAGGAATCTTATATTTTTTGCCTGCCTGCAAAGTTAAAATCGCCGGACATGGAACACCATAGTATCAAGTTCTTCTCCTTCTAGTTGGAACACGTCCCAGTCCTATCCCATACAGCACATCAAATCATATTTACGATGTGTTTACATTATTAGATGTAGACACAGGGTGACACAATTCCCCCGATGTAAATATGCTACGTTTACACATTGTAGTTCAACACGTATGCACAAAGGTTAAACGTCCGCCTCACAATGTAGCAACAGTATAGCATTTACGTATACACAAAATAAGGGATACACAGTGTGCCGTAGGATACACAGTGCTTGTGTATTACGTTTAAACTATGTTTACACATTGCAGTTGTGACTACCGCGTGTATACGTATGTATTTTGCTTCGTATATACATCTTGTGCTAGATAAAACTGCTTCTTATGAACGAATTTAGGAAATAATACAAGTTTTGATGCCTAACTTTTCGTTCTTTTAAGAAATATTTATTCAATGATACCAATTATATCTTTTTAGAACGAAAATTAGGAAGGCAAAACTTTGTATTTTCAAAAAGTATCTCGATCGTAAGTTCAAGTAGCCTTAAAATTGTTCCATTTTGTTTTGTATTAAATGTACCATTTTTCTTCCATAAAATGGATTAAGTGGTTT